CAAGGCGAGTCCAAGAAGGAGACGAAGGTCGAATTGGTCGAGCACGATAAGCGCAAGACAAAAATTGCGATTGAACAAGACACGCACGAAGTCAAGGTGGTCGAAGCTCCAAGGCTCGAGGAGGTTTCGGACGTGGCTAAGGTAGCCGAGGTTGAGGTAATTGAGGTTGAAGAGGAGGTGTTGGTCACGGTCGAAGCGGGCCATGAAGAGGTTACGTTCGAAGTCCTAAAGGTCAAAGAGGAGGCGACGTTCCAACCGACTATCGATGCTAGGAGTAAAGTCTTGGTCAAGGAGGACCGTGGGTGGGATGCGTGCGCAGTTAAAGACGGAGTGCCCGAAGTTTGGATGTTCTATGATAAGTCCTTGAGGACAAGGACATTCTCAAAGGGGGCGGGAATGATGCGGAAGTGGGTTTCGAGCCCCGACGACAAGAAGGTCCAAGAGTCGAGAAGGCTCGAGAAGGCCGAAAGAAGGGCCAAAACTAGGCATGCATGGCCTAAGCGACGTGCACGAGCCCGTATACGAGGATACCAACATGCACGATGGCACAGGAGGTCGAGCAAGAAGCTCAAGAGATCGAGGCTTGAAGGCTCGGGTGACGCGGTCGACTGGTGCAAGGCGTGCACAAGGGAGCAACGCGCACGACGCTTGGAGGCTAAGGCCTTGGGCGTTCAGTTAACGGAGGAGACGAGCGGTGCGCGAGGGGAGGATGTTGGGTGGACAGCGCGCACATGGGATGGCCGTGATCAGGCGAACGTGCAAGTGGTAACATGCGCAAGATCATACGAGAAGATAATCCCGGGACGGGCCATAATCGAGCGCAAAGAAGGGCGCGAATACGCGCATTGGCGTAGACGTGCACGGGCGAGGCCACGCCCCGAAAGGAAGCGCTATCAGAGGTTTTGGGATGCTTATAGAAGGGTTAGAACCTGGTGGGGATGGCTAAGGAACCAGGTGGCTCGAAGGAACGGAAGGCACGCAATTTGGGTGCCCAACGGGTGCAGCCCGCGCACATGGGAGCGCTGGCAGCGAGATGACGGATCGATCTTTTGTCTATACGGGTTGCGAATAAACGGCGCACTCAGGGCCTTCGTTTATTCCTGATAGGTGTATCTAGCAGACGCACTCAGGGCCTTCTCCTAGACACTGTGACTTCGAGACGCTCTCAGGGCCTTCTCTCCGATACTGTATGTAAAGACGCACAAATGGCCTTCTTTATCACACGTTAAGAACACAAGGTTCCCCCTCAAAATCAATACTCAATTCAAGACATAAAAATAATGATGAGGTACATGGGGTATTTATAGGTGCAAAATAAATCTAGGCCTAAATCTAATAGATCTCCTAAATCATGCAAGAATAGAAATCCTAAGTCTAGAAAGCAATAAAATCCTAAACCTACCAAAATACTAATGCTTGGCTTGCACACCAAGCAAATCTAGAAGCTCCCTAATTAATCACATGCTAAAACTCTCGGCGCCCCTTATACGCACGCCGCCTCACGGCTCCCGTCCAACGTGTCGCACGCGTCATCCGTGCGTCCCCTCCTCGTGCTCTCCTAGTCCTTGGCGCATTAGGCCTCTGCCCGCGTCATTTCCACTTGCGCGCCCGACGCGCCCCGCACGCCCATCGCCTGCCGCTCCGCGCGTGCCGTCAGTTCCCGAGGTCCGTTCCCCTATTGCGCAGCCCCGTGCGCCCACAGTGCCGCACGTATCGCCAACCTCCTCGCCATCGCCCGCTACGCCTATGCCCATATGGATTAGGTCGTCCGCATCGCTGCTGGTACTCGCGCGCCCAT